TATTTGTTCAAATAGATACATGAGAAATATTATAAATCTTAATTATAATTTAACAGGATTAGTTATGATTAGTTAAGTAGATAAGAAAGAAATACATTATTTAGTTAATTATAGTTTAATCGTATCATATTATGATCAATAAGATAAATATATATAGAGATATACCAAAAGAGTTTCTTATAGTATATAAGGAGGCTTAATTATATATGGAAAAAACCCAACTTAACCGTAAAAATGTTTATTTTATAAGATCTCTTATAAAATCAACCTTTTTAGTGTCTAGCAACAAGAAAAATAAGGAATATCATCTCCTCTTTTGCATACGACATGAAATGATTCAAGGGGTCTCTTTGGCTGTCATGGAGACGATGAGTTGAAGCTTGTTGTTCGGTTTAGAATAATCATCAAAGGTTCCATGATAAATAAGGTATGATTTTTATATCAACCAAGCTATATATCGTGGTTCATATGGATTCGGTTCGGGTTATGGTTAATTATGATGTGCATAAGACCACATAACCCAACAATGATCCACTACAAGAAGAGGAAAACACTCTCGAAGGAGGCATCGGCCCCATTAAGAGCGTCTCCAACAGTTTCTTTAAAATAGAGAAAATGTAGAAAAAAAGGATTTTGAATTTATATTTTGCTCCAAGAGCTTCCTCAAAACTATCTACAAAATGGAAAAAAGTAGGAGAGAAATTTTTTTCTTCTTTAAATATGGAGATCACTCCAAAAATGATTTTCAAGTGAGAGCACCAATAGAAAACTTTGAGGATAAATATTTAAAGAGAAAAATAATATTTTAATAAATAAATAAAATATTTTTAATATTAAAATCAATATTGGATTTTTCAACTAAGAAATCTATTGAAGATGAATAGATTTTTTTTTTTTTTTTGGAGATTTTGATTTTTGAGAGAGAGAGAGAGAGAGAGAGAGAGAGAGAGAGAGAGAGAGTCAACGGTTGGTGAAGTGAGGAGAGAAAATAGAGATTTTTTAACTTTTCTCATTTTTCTAATTACAAAACACAATTTCGAAAAAGAAGCATAAAAATTGGAATTTACTCACTCTATCCCATTAACTGAGACCTGTATGAGATTCCTTTTTGTTGACCTAGCTAAGCATGGTTCCATACGTAAATAAAAACGAAGAAGAAAGCCTAAAGGAAATAGAGATGGAAATAAATCAACATGTAGATCGATCGACGAGAACATCATAGATTTGGGAAAACCGATGTAATTACCATCTACGTCATTTAGATTCAGAAATAGTTTATCATGCTGTCTATCAGAACCACAAAAATGGTGTGTAATGTGCTTCGATTTTGCTTGCTTGTTTTTCAAGGGATTTTCTTGTGTGGCTGTCGGCTGGCTCTTGGATTTTCTTTAATTGGAGCTTGTAGTGAACCCTTTCCGTTATTCATCGCAGTCAACGCTTTTGCCACTCAGGCATCAGCTTTTGGGTTGGTCGTCTGGTTGTTGGTCGGTTTATCTTGCTGCTATCATCATTCATACCCCTCGGGTTTTCAGTTTGGTTCGTTATAACACAGCTCTCCTAAGTTTGTTCTCCAGATCTTTCTTAGGTTTCGTCATATTCATTGAGTTGATGGGTGGCAACTCTTTCACTTTCTTATTTTATTCATTTTCTGCAGCTTTATTCTTGTTTATCTTAACCAGGAATGAAGGTATGATCAAATTGAACACGAGGTTAGTCAATTGCATATTCACAGATACAACAAAGATATAGGGTACGATATGATACTATTTGTCTATTTTTATGTATATGTTGTATCTTCCATTGACATGATCTCTTCTAATTAATATCTAGTAGAAGTTTCTCTTATCATGAGAATTTTGCCACGACCATTAGCTAGCATGGTGGATATTTGCGTTGCTGGCTGCTTTTCCTGGTAGATTGGCTGCTAGTTTTGGGTTTCCTAGCCAGCCTAGCTTCTTGATTTTTGCCTAGAGTTGTCTGCTGGCAGCTTTATTTCTCATGTTTTCTGTTTACTTTTGGTAGACAAAATTTTATAGTTTTCTCAATTTTTATTTTATCCATGGCTTATCTAAAAGAGATATTAGCTAAGGACCATGGTCAAAATCAATAGCAAAGGGAATTAAGCCATTAGCCACAGTAACTAAACTCCTTCACCCAAATTTACTTGGGGTGAGAAATTTCGGTTAGAGAGTCGTCTTTATATTTTCTTGATCACCCCCTTTTATGACTGTAGCCCTAAATGACGATATAATCAATGTGAACTTAAAATCGTTGTCGAACTCCTTGGTACTGTTACTGTCAACAATGAACCAAAACCAACCACCACATGCAAACTTCAAGCTGCCTAAACCTAACTTTTAATCATTTCTTTTTCTTTTCTTAACTGAGGATATATGCGAAGATCTTGAAAACTCCCACCGGTTTTCAAGATTCCAGCTGGAAGCTCATTTGTTAAAGTCAGAAGTTGAACTTACTTCTCTTTTTCATTTTGTCACCTTCTTTATAATTTATTTAAAACTTAGCCTGATTAGTCAAACTTTTCAATGTTTTATTAAATTATCCATATTTAGTTCTCTTTTTTGTTTTAATCTTTTACATCTTTTCATCATCTTGCATGTTCAGCTTCCTAAAAGTAAACCGATCCAAGATGGAAAGACTGTAAAATGGAAATGAGAAACTGATATATGTGTGTATTTGGTTTATGATATAATTTCGATTAGGGTTGGAGCTATTTCTCCAAGGTGGTCGGGGTGTGGAAAAATATAGATAAAGGGGAGATGGTAGGGTTTGCTAACTTAGATTCTCAACTAAAGTGCAACCGTAAATCTGCTAGAACTTGCACTTCTTTGTTTACATTCCTAAATAACATTTGAGCAATTTCGTAGGTTGAATACATAGATCGAGCATCCAAGATGAGTTGTCGTTTGATGTTCATATTTTTTTAACAAGTCAAAGTCTTCTTTTTTAACTGAAATTAACAGAAAAAATGTACTTAAATGGTGTAAAGAGAGAAACAAAGAAACAAAGGAAACAGAAAAGGAAAACAAATCAATAATTAAACAAGAAGGTGCATAAACACTCACCTTCTACCGGCAACAGCATCCAAAACCACACTTTGACCAACTCCAAGAGAACTATTTGAGAAGCAAGGCTGTGCCGAAGGTGTACCAATGTATAATTCAGAATAGTTGGCTCCCAAACTTTTCTGTGTATTTTGATTTTTAACAATATAGATCAATGCTCCAATTCCTCTCTTCTTCTAGATTTGTTAATTAGCCGATTCCCGATTACGATTGCAAATTGTCAATCCCTTCTCCTTGAGACTTCAATTTGAAGATTGAACTCTCCTATTGACTAGTTGTGTTAATCTATTTTCTCAGTGACTAATTTAATGATTGAAACACCAAGTACGACCTTATTTAATAATCTTCCACTTTCTTGTTCTCTATTTCTCATATGTAGTTTCATTGACTTCTTTATCGTGAAACTGATCGCAATCATTCAGTGCAATATATATAACCCTTCGAAAACACACACAAAAAGTTTAGAGTTAACCGAGAATTCAGCCCTAGAATTGAGCCAGGGTATCTTGAGAAGTTGAGTTAAACTACAATTGTCATATATGTTAACCTTTTAATTTAGCATTGGAGAAAGTAGATTATGAAGAACTAATTGAAGATATTGTTTCCAACAATGTTAGAAGAACGATTCTATTTAAATGAATTTTATATGTTACTTTATCATGATATCTTTATTGTTTTAATTTGTAAAGTTTTAAAATAAATATGGTATAAACTATTACATTTTGTTTTTTAATTTATTACTTATCCGGTTAACCTGTAGTTTTGATACAAGTGTAACAGGGTCTACAAGAAGATTGGAACGGCTCTAGTGAGAAGTAAATAGAAGCACAACGTACCGTTTTAACTTATTCGTCTTTTAGTTCCCAAAAATCCCTTCGCAACTAAAATACGATGTCTTCAGAATTTTGATTTTCTATCCCATTGGGGCCATCAGCAATGCTACAACTCGCCCATTTCACAAAAAAAGAAATAAGGGAGGAAAAAAGACTTCCACTATGTCGCTGATCGATCGACCTTTCATTTGTATCGCAAACTACCAAGTTTTGGTGATCGTAATTACACTCACACACTTAATATTTTACTTATTTGTATGCAGATATAAAGTTTGAACTAGTTATATTAAGAAGGAAGACGACCCAAAAAACAATTTAGTTTAGACCTTACTGCTTGATTGGATATTTAGTCATTAATTTGTTTGCATACATGCAACTGTTTTGACTTGCCAGTTGCAAACTAGTACTGTTCATGAAACTCTCCACAGGTGATTTCAAAAATACTGGTTTTCATTCCCTTTTCTTAATTTGATTGCTAACCACATGTGTCTGTGTCTACTGTTATATATTAATCTTCCACCTCAAATTCTTGGCAAACATTAATTGAATTTCTCATCAACATGAAGAAGCAAAACCTAAAAATAGTGTAAGAGCTGAGAATGCATTCTTTCTACTCAGTAGCATTTATATGATGATGGAATGAATGTTAAAATTTTGTAGATCACATCTAGGTTTATATTTATTATTTCTCATTGAAAAGTTTTTGACCACATTGAATTTCCCTCTTTCTTTATTCTGTTTTATTTCTAACTCCTTAATTGTGCGAATGTTGTTATCTTAAATTTTTAAGTCTTTTAGATTTTAATTGTTTCTTCGACGATCAATTTATAATTTTACCACACGTAGTAGACCGTATGGACCAGGATTACTACATAAATGTTTGCTTTTGTTCTTTTGTTTTCCTTAATGCCTTGATTTATGGAGTGGTTAATGTACCATTGAAGTATTAGGCAGAAAAGTGTCTTCATATTTTTTGTATATATGAATCAATATCTTCAGTTGATTAAAATGAATATTGATCATTAATATCTCCCTGATCCATCAAACTATTTGGTAATCAACAATATGCATGCCATGCATCTCCTTTAACAAGTGAGGTTACTGCATTTATAAATAAAGCTTTCATACGAAAAGTCGTAGCTACAATATAACATCGTTCATTTTACATCCCTACTGAACTACGGCCGAAAAGTTTCCTAGTCAAATGTAATAGCAGAAACCTTATAATTAATGGCATTGAAGACAAGTACTTAGAAGATCTCACTAGCTCCTATGTCTACCATGCGCATGGTCAGATCTCAAGTACTCGTCTCCGTCCAGCCTACTGTTACATACGTAAGTGTATATAAGCTATTTTATAACTTACTCTAGGTTGGTCATGTCTCTTTCAAAGAAAGAGAGAGCATAGTATTGATTTCGGGAGCACTCCTTTGATGATTCTCTTCATCTACACCGTTATTTGGGCTCAACTTAAGCTGCAAATCAGGCTTCCTCTCCTCCTCCGTGAACCCTCTTTCTTCTTTTAGCTGAAGAAAAAAATGAATTAAAAGGAAACAAGTAAGAAGTTTTTGGATCCTCACATAACAAAGTGATCATGTCAAGAGCGAATGATATATACCTCAAGTAGAAATGACGCTTCGGATTGTGAATTCAATATTGGTGTGAAGTCATTGTTAGTTGATTGAGACCGTATAATCTTTGCTCTCTCTCGGAAATACCATTGACATTGAGAAACACTGAATGGAGCCGAGGAGGTACTACTGTCGCAATTGCTTGTGATAGGTAACCATTTGTCTTTTCTTTGATCTAGTGGTGGCCACTTCTTTTCCTCGAGAAATTGGCTAGGTCTCATTGGCGCATCTCGTGTTCTTGAGTTGGATATATGAAATTTGTGTGAATCAGAAGGCTTGTCTTGTATTTGATTCATAATATCTTTCATCATGTTGTTCCCATGTACAAATTCTTTTCTCACCGGTGAAGACACTAGACTTTGATTAGACAGCCATAGTTGGTGCCTTTAGATAGATAGATAAACACAACATGTGTACAAGTCAGGAAACTAAAAAAGGAGAACAGGAGTTTTGTTGAAATTTTGCCACTTCATCTGGCCATACCATGAGGTGATGATCACGATCACTAATAAAAAGTTCTAAATTGTTTTTGTTGCTCTATCCATCTGTGGTCGAAATTAAATTTCCTTGATACGAAAATCTCTCCCTCAAGATGTTTAAAATCAAGTTGAAAGTAGAAATAAATGGTGACACATCCATAGAAACTCTTTGTGATATTCATGAATTGGTCTATGAACCTAGTTATGATGGTTCACGGCTCAGTTAAGTGGAAGTGTTTCTCAAAATGGACCAAGGTGGCAAACGCTTAAAACAAGAATGCATTCGACATACCTTGATAGAAAATGTTGGATGCTGCGTGTTGGTCGAAAAGTAGAGTCATGTAGATTACTTCTAGCGTGATGGTTACCCTCTTCTAAATTGCTTGCTAGAACAATCCCACCATTTGCATGTTTCAAATGTTCGAAGGGACTACTTCTTGAGTACAAATTGCTATAAATATGTGGCCTTCCTTGCATCGTGAGTGTAGCCCTTTGAGATAATACTGTAGAAACAACACTTTTTACTGAGTTGTGTAAAGACGAATATATTCCATGTTCTCATGAAACATTTTCTCTTTCATGTCATGTTGAGTTTTTTAGCATAAACATAAAAAAAGAAAACTTTAATATGCAATGCTAACGTTATGAGAAAACTAAGTTTCAGAACAATGCTAAAATAATGAGAAAGTACTTGGTTTCAGCATCGATCATAAATAAAAACTTTAGTTGCAATGCTAGAATTAAGAGAATATGTGGTTTCAGCACCAATGGTGCAGCCATCAGTTGCAAAAAAATTGTACATGGTTAAGTTTATAAACTTTAACAGATCACAAAATGTGTTGTCTGAATTTGGTAAAATTGCAAGCATTGCCACATATTTTATGATAAAAAAACAGTTTGCCTTGATTAACCACTGTCTCGACAACATCCTTTACTTTTGGAACAAAGTACATGTTCATTGTTAATTAACTGTGGCTTTTTTATCAACATCTTTGCAGCAGATCATTCATTTGATCGTTTTTCATTTTTGAATGATCCATTCGTCCTATGAAAATTGCAGTAATTTCTTTTGGGATGCTAGCTTCACGAAAAATGCAATGTTTCAATACTTGTTGAAAAATTATCAAGATAAATTATCTATTCAACCAACGCCATTGTTATGCAATGTCTATTAATTTGGTTGTTTACTGATTCAAAATATTCATATATTTGGTCATCATTGAACCGTATTTTAGATTATATACGACGAATAGTAAAAAAGATGGATGCAGTAGCTTTTTTTTTCCTGTAATGCTATGTAGAGTAGAGGACATTATTTTTATGTGATGAATGCATTTGTAATCTTATAGCCTCCTTGAACGGGTTAAGTTTTCATATTTTATGGAAGTGAATGGACTGCTTATCTTTCCTCTAATAAGAAGGTTATTTTTTTCTTCCTGAATCAAGATTCATGTCTTACCTTGCCCAGAATCATCAAGCTTCTTGCTTCTATACATCTGCATTAAAAGAGATTCGTGATCAAAATTGGGTGAACATTGAAGAATGCTAAGAACTCATGACGATGATGAACTTAGTTACCTGCAAATGACTTTTCACATGAGCGATGCTTAGTCCTCTGACATTCATTAGCTGCAGAACTGACTTGGGAGTTGCTTCTGCAGTAAAGCCAAAAACATTTCAAGTTTTGACCAACTAAAATCATTGTTTAAATTGAATGCATAATTGATCAAGCATCACCAACTAAACATCTAATTTATTCAGATATTTAAGTCTTCCATTTTTTGGAACCAATGAAAGATCTAAAAAAACAAGTCAACTGGTTAGGTAGTGTGTGTCCTACTTATGAGACTTACAATTGCACCAAACTGTAGGAATGATTGAAAATATTACAGATCTGAAGTTTAACGTTTTCAAATCCTTAGTGGCT